CCCAAAGTGCTGGGATTATAGGCGTGAGCCACCATGCCCAGCTGAGATGTTTTTGTAATCCTAGGTAGAGCAAGCTGAAATCTAATATAAAGATCTTTTCTAAAACTGTGTTAGAAAAGATCTTTATATTATTTATATTATATTTTAAAGATCTTTATATTATATTACTTGCATTCGTGTTGATCTCTACCAATGCCATCTTTCAATGGTTTCAGACTATTCTGTTAAGGTCCAGGGCTCTCTTTGATAAATAGAGAACAGCAGAGCTGTATCACACAAATTGTGCAGCACTTTGGGTGAATATTTCCTAATTATTGCATTGTTATTTGTCACAAAAATGGTAGTGGTGAAGAAAAAACATTTCCACACAAGGCCGTTACGTACTTCCCAATAAAACAAAATGATGGTTTGCCAAAAAACGATGGAAACAGTTTAAGCTTCTTTACACTTTCACCAAGTATGCATTTCAAAGTCGAGGATCTCTAAAAACTTCTGGACAAGTTGAAAGCCCTTTATCAAACTAAATACTTGGGATTAGAAGTGTGTCAGATTTTAGATTTTTTTTAGATTTTGGAATATTTGCATATACATAATGAGATAACTTGAGAATGGGACCCACGTCAGAACATGAAATTCATTTATGTTTCATATACACATACACCTTATTCATATACGTGAAGGTAATTTTATACAACATTTTAAATAATTTTATGCATGAAACAAAGTTTGTATACATTCAACCATCAGAAAGCATAGGGGTCAGGTGTGGAATTTTCCACTGTGGCTTATGTGGACTCTCAAAAAGTTTTGTGTTTTGGAACATTTTGGATGCTCAATTTTATTTGCCTCATGCAGTAGAATGCTTTAGCTTCATTTGAAAACAGTTATCCCTGTGCGTTGTTTCATGTTAATGTCTGTCAATAGCAACCTTGTGATTCGTTCCTAGATCACATCTTTAAATCACAAGTACTTTAGAAACCACCTGGAGGACAGCCTTTCTCTTGGAAGGCCCTTGCTTATCGAAGATGTTGGGGAGGAACTAGATCCAGCACTCGATAATATTTTGGAAAGAAACTTCATTAAAACTGGGTCCATCTTTAAGGTAGGTTAAAACTGTGGATGACGACGTGCAGAATACTTACATGAGGCCAAGGCAATGTGACACAAGATAGGATTCTCTCAGTTGGCAACAGCTTAAATTTGAGTCAGTGGGAAAAGTTTGTTTTTCTTTTCTATGCTTCTTGACTTTGGATTAAAATATCCTTTTAAGAATATTGATTTCACTTTTGTAATGTGAAAAGGGATCTGACTATGTCTTGATGCTCACAGCTTTGAAGCTTCTCCATGCCCCCCTCCCGTTCCACCCCACTCACATCTGGGCAAGCTGATAAAATCTGGGTGCCCCTCCTTTGGCACCTGTTGATAATTCAAACAATGCAATCCCCTGTCCACATCTATGTATGGGATCCCTCACCCCAGCTCTACCCACAAAATATCACAAAGCCCTAGAGCAGCTGTGCCTCCCCGCTCTCTCAAGCCGGTTTTTGGAACCTGCTTGGGAACCTACTCTGACCTGTCCCAAAATCTCTCTATGTGAGTAATAAGCCTTTTTTTCCTCTTTTGGTATATGTATGGCATCATCAGTCTCAGCCTCTGAACTGAATATTGAGTAAAAGATCCATCTCTCTCCTGCAATGCATCCACAACAATTTTGGTGTTAAATTCTATATTCAGTTAATTATATATATGTGTGTGTGTGTATATATATATATATATGTATATATATATATGTGTGTGTGTATATATATATATATACATATATATATATATATATATATGTTTCTTTCTTCCATCCTTCTTTGTTTCCTTCTTTTCATCCTACTTGTCTGAAGCTGTGCAGATGCCTCATGACCATTTCTTTTTTAGTATATGAACGATCTCAAATTACGTAATTGTTTAAAACAGCACTTGATCTGATACAAAAAAGACACAGTAAGGTATATCTCTATTTTATTACTTAAAATTTTTTTTATAAAAAAGGTGAAAATTGGTGACAAGGAAGTAGATGTGATGGATGGCTTTAGACTCTACATTACCACCAAGCTGCCTAACCCAGTCTACACCCCTGAGATAAGTGCTCGTACGTCCATCATTGACTTCACTGTCACCATGAAAGGTCTAGAAGACCAGTTACTGGGGAGGGTCATTCTCACAGAGAAGCAGGTGAGTGAAGTGTGGCTCCTTTCCCTTCTGTTTTGCTTTATGTCGTATTTCATTGGCAAAAACAAGATAATAACAGTTGTAATAGAACTGTTTCTCTCCTTTTATTCCCTGTGGTTTTTTCCATTAATCTTCAAGTGTCTTCTTTTTTTCCTAAAAGAAATTATTAACCAATCATCTACCCATATGTTTCACATATGTCTCATAAGTTATATATGTCATTGATTGCCTTTATACAGACTGATGATGAAACCAGGAGGAATCAGTCTCATCTTCGGCATCATTATTTTAGTCCTAAATTGCTTTATTTTTCTGAAAAGTGTGTTCTATTACGAATTCTACTCACTTGTTGACTTTTAATTTTCTAGTACACATCTAGGTTTTTCTTTCATTTGATTTATTATTATGTCTTTAGAATATCAAATTAAAACTTTGTACTCATAACAAACATTGTCAGTTCTCATTTACGATCTAGGAGAGCTCTGCAGTATGTCCTGCCGGGGTCTGATGTGAGAAGACAGAAGTTTGTGACACCTGAGTTTCACTCTAACTTCTGAGGGCCACTGACTTAACAATGCTAATGAAATGTTACTCCGTGTCTGCCTTCTTTCCTTCTGTTTTGTGGGATAACTTAACGCTCAATGAAAAATGGCCATGCATTTGTAAACTTCCTTCTTTTGAGTGAGCATTTCCTCCAGGAAATATGTGAGGCTTCAGCAAAGAAACATGGAAGATTTTAATGGGACAGTTATGGCGAAACTGCACGAACTCTTAAGGTTGCTATTGATTTGCTCCTGGGTTCAATAATAACGAGGAGTTTAGTTAACTTGATGGCAACTTCTTTGCTGACCTGAAGATTTATTTACTTTAATACAGTCAGCAAAGTCTTCGGGTCTGTCCTTCCCCTTTTCTGTACCTTTTCTGTGTGTTGTATGGTCCTTGCCCTTCTGAGCCCTACCACACTTCTCTTTCTTCCCCACTTCCTCCTCTCCTCTCTCCCTTCCTTTTTTCTGAACATTCTTTTTAATTTATAGCACATGAATCACAGAGTCATAAAGTTAGGAGTTGCATTAGGAACATTTAATCCAGCTTCATAAATTTGCATGGTTGGGTGATCTCAGAAAGGCAGATTCTGATTCTGATTCCTGCCCCTGAGTTGCCACTGTGGTTATATCAGCCTTCAAAATATGTACTTGCTTAGGTTTTGAGTCCTGAGTTAAATCTCAATAGAGGTGGTTGAGGAAATTTAGCATTGTCATATAATTACTTCAGGCAGGACTGGGATTCTTGAGCAATAGCATGTGACCTTGAGCAAGTGGGAGTTCCTGAGGGTCTTTTGGGCCACCTCTGTCACTGGTATTTGAGACTCTCCTTCCACATGCAGCCTTGGCTTCATGGAGAGAAGGGGCCCTGATGGCAGTTTGAATAATATTCTTGTCCTTGGTTTTCTTATATTCAACTGAGATGAATGCAGTCTCCTTGGAACAAATAATTTGACCTGACAGACCTGGAGTGCAGTGAAACACAGCAACAGCAACAGCAACAACAAAAACAAAAATAAACCCATCACTGAGCCTTAATTGTTGTAGCAGAGGTTTAAGATGAAATGAGGAGCTTGTCAAGCTCATTTGAAAATACTTGGAGTAGCCTTGAAAATCCAGTATGGTTGCAGGACCAGGCTTTCTCTTACTTCTCAGGAAAAACTGAGTGCCTTGAGAAAATTACTCCTTTAATATCATCTCATTATCAGAATCTGTTCTGGGCTCACAGGAAATAATTCTTCCAAAATGATTAGCCAGAAGAATGCGACATTCATTTTTTCTTTCATAATAGCAGACACTCGTTTTCTTTTATAATGTGAACCACATTATAACACCTAACCTTTATTTATTTTGTTCCCAAAGTGAGGTCTTGTGATAGAAGAAGTGAGCTGCTGGATTTAATTTTGATGGAATTTCAGTAGCATGCTTATTCAAAGGGGCTTTTACTCTTGCATCTTCTTCACTTCTCAGCATAGTCCTCAATGTGCTGACATTGCTGGATCTTCTCAATCTGGGTGGTACAGATGGGTCTGAGTTGATGCCTGGTGCTTTTGGGTTATTTCCTACAGTCTAGTTACTCAATCAAAAAGAGTCTTATGTCTGTGCCTTATGAGCACAGATATATATCAATGTTTTAAAGTTCAAATTATTCCTTTGACTTCAGTGACGCAGTCACTGAAGTGACTTGATATAACTACTTCTTCGGTGATTATGAATATAAAATAACAATTTGAAATGTTATTGATTTCAGGAGGGCTGTTGATGCTAGTAGAACTACACATAGGAAGGGATAGGATATCCTATGCCGAATAGGAAGTTGATGTCAGAAACTATCTGAGAAATGTGGAGCTGAAACAAAGGCTGAGTCTCTTCAAAGGGGATGAGTCATGACTCATAGGTTTGTTGATTCTTCTTGTGAAAGGAGGCTCTGAATTGATCATGCAAGGAAAAGACAAATCTTTGACTCCAAAAATTCATCATCCGTTCTATGTCCTAGGGATACAGGGGCAGTGAGGGACCTTATTATCACACATAATCGGTCATGAATGCTTAGTTACACACCTGCTAGACCTTCAGGTTTGTTTGCTTCAGAAACACATAGAAACCTTAGAGTGTATGAAATAAAGGAAGCGTGATTTTTAACAGAGTTTGTATTTTCTGTGTGCTTCAAGACAGTCATTTTAAATGCATGTGCTGTTCATATTCAGATCAAGGCTATATCCAATTGTTTATCTAATGTACCTGTGAGTAGATTTGGACATTCTGCTGTTATTACCAGAAGGTGATGTATCTAGACCATTTTAAAACCAGTAGGCCTCCAACAACCTTCCTTTATAGAAACCAAATCTCTTAGGCTTACTCTCACTTTGATAATAGAAAATAAGATAGAAACTTAAAAAAATCTATGTTCTATTGGGAGAAAAATGCCAGTTTTGATGAACAGCTCCTACTGGTCACATAATACAAGGCCTCAGGGATCATCATTGTTCAGAATTCTGGATGAGCAAACAGGTATGTGATTTCCTTTTGAGGTACAAGTGCCTGAACTTGGTGAAATTGACGTGGTAAGTAATTTAAGAAGGACATTGTAGTAGAACGATTTATAATCCTTTGGATATATACCCATTAATGGGATTGCTGGGTCAAATGGAATTTCTATTTCTAGGTCCTTAAGGAATCGCCACACTGTCTTCCACAATGGTTGAACTAATTTACACTCCCACCAACAGTGCAAAAGTGTTCCTATTTCTCCACATCCTCTCCAGCATCTGTTGTCTCTAGATTTTTTAATGATCGCCATTCTAACTGGTTTGAGATGGTATCTCAATGTAGTTTTGATTTGCATTTCTCTGATGACCAGTGATGATGAGCATTTTTTCATATGTTTGTTGGCCTCATGTATGTCTTCTTTTGTAAAGTGTCTGTTCATATCCTTTGCCCACTTTTGAATGGGTTTGTTTTTTTCTTGTAAATCTGTTTTAGTTCTTTGTAAATTCTGGATATCAGCCCATTGTCAGATGGGTAGACTGCAAAAATTTTTTCCCATTCTGTTGGTTGCCGATTCACTCTAATGACTGTTTCTTTTGCCATGAAGAAGCTGTGGAGTTTGATTAGGTCCCATTTGTCTATTTTGGCTTTTGTCACCAATGCTTTTGGCGTTTTGGTCATGAAGTCCTTGCCTACGCCTATGTTCTGAGTGGTTTTGCCTGGATTTTCTTCTAGGGTTTTTATGGTGTTAGGTCTTATGTTTAAGTCTTTAATCCATCTGGAGTTAATTTTAGTGTAAGGCGTCAGGAAGGAATCCTGTTTCTGCTTTCTGAACATGACTAGTCAGTTTTCCCAACACCATTTATTAAACAGGGAATCCTTTCCCCATTGCTTGTTTTTCTCAGGTTTGTCAAAGATCGGATGGCTGTAGATATGTTGACACATGCACATGAATGTTCATTATAGCACGTTTTACAATAGCAAAGACCTGGAACCAACCAAAATGCCCATCAATGATAGACTGGACAGGGAAAATGTGGCACATATACACCATGGAATATTATGCAGCCATCAAAAACGATGAGTTCGTGTCCCTTATAGGGACGTGGATGAACCTGGAAACCATCATTCTCAGCAAACTGACACAAGAGCAGAAAATCAAACACTGCATGTTCTTACTCATAGGCGGGTGTTGAACAATGAGAACATATGGACACAGGGAGGGGAGCACTACACACTGGGGTCTGTTGGGGGCAGTGGGGGAGGAACAGTGGGGGGTAGGGAGTTAGGGAGAGATAACATGGTGAGAAATGCCAGATATAGGTGAAGGGGAGGAAGGCAGCAAATCACACTGCCATGTATGTACCTATGCAACAATCTTGCATGTTCTTCACATGTACCCCAAAACCTTAAATGCAATTAAAAAAAAAAGAAGGACATTAAACAGACATCATTAACACCAGCTCACTGGTGGTGGAGGAAAAAGAAATATTTTTCTGAGTTCTCTTGTTTAATCTTTCTATTTTAATTACTCATGAAAAGTACAAAAAAGAAATAATATTTGGTAATAGAGCTTGAATGATACCTTTAAAAATGAAAACTCTGACTGGCTGCCATTTTTCTTTTACTGATTTCAAAAATTTGGTTATAAATGCAGTTTAGATATAAAAATGTTTAGTTTTCATTTGCTTCTTTGTTAAACTACTTAAAAAATCATTTAATTAACAAATGCTATGTACATGAAATTTTATCAAACCACCCTGTACATGTAAATTTTTATTTTATTTTTAATTAACAAATAGTAATTATGCATGTTTATGGGGTACATAATGATGTTTCCAAATTATAATGTATAGTGATCAGATTGGGGTAATTAGCATATCCATCATCTCAAACATTTATCATTTGTCTATGTTGGGAACATCCAATATTCTCATTTGAACTATTTGAAATTATATAATATATTAATTGTTA